ACTAATAAGTGGGCCATTTCATACTTGTTGCCAACTATGTTTTAATCTCTTGTCATGTTCCATCATGACAAAAGGCAACTTCCTGACCTGCTCCTTTATCTGCCAAAATCTGCATAACTTTTCGTGAAGGAAGTGGACTGACTCTTTTCAAATCAAGGGTGATTGTTTAAGTACTAGAGTATTTTTGGGCCATCACTGATATGCCCTCTGATAAAGGAGAAGCATGGAAGTGTCTGTTCCTCACTCAGTCCTTTCTTTGAAGTTTTCAGTAACAGGAGGTAAATTGAAGGTGTAAATTATCCTTTTACACACTGACCTCTGGCTGTTCAACCAGCTTCCCAAGCACTTACAGAAGCATCCAGTAACTAAATTCCATATTTCATACTCCCGAAGTCGTCAGTTTCTTCTCAAGTCCTATATATATTCATGGGAGTAAGTCCCCTTGAATATGCATCCACTTGCTATGTAATTTGTGAAAAACACTTTGTGATTTCTAAGAAATTAATGAATGTTGCAATGTGTTTTAAATGACTGCATCCAGGTAATTGATCTTACAATTTATAGAAGAATAATGCGTACAAAAATGTGTTCATGTATGTTGTCATGTGGTGATGCTTGGCCCTACAAGAGGAGGATCCAGATGGGCCATTTGGCCTGTGTCTCACCTCACAAAGGGGTCTTACTTCAGTAAAAACTACATGTTCATCACACATTCTATAAACAGAAAAAAATTCTTCCCATGCCTTTCTTTAAAATATTCTTTATTTCTCTCCCCCACCAATGAGGGAGCCTCACAAGGTGAAATGATTCAGGCCTCATCTGAACTCTTGTTGAGCCTGGAGTGGAGCAAAAAATCTTTACTTGATGTGTTGCTGAACAATTTGACTTTTATTTCCTAGAGGTCTAACAAGGAGGTCTGATAGGGTTGTTACTTACACATCTTCATCATCATTATAATCAACAAAGGGCAGTAGAAGCCACTGATTTGCATAATATACAGTATATATATTTTTAAAGTCTTTAAACAGAGGATGCCTTCAATAGGACAAGTACCCACCCCACACAATGACAACTTGATGTTTTGTTACTGTGTTCTGACATCCAGTCTGAAAACAAAATACTGTACTGTATTTGAAATTGATTTATGCCTTCAGCTAGGCCAGCTTTAAATCTGATTCAATGGGTATGTATGAGTGAAATCACATTGATTTGGAAAAAACAAAACAAAACAAACAAACAAGCAAAAACCAAGCCCAAACTGGACTGCAATTAACTTGTTGCCGAACAAGTTCAGGAGCTGGTTTGATCTGTCTATGCACACAAATATTTAAAAGTATTTTTTAGAGAGAAAGAAAAAAAAGGAGAGGATTTGTTAACATAAATAATTATTTTTAAAAATAAGTGTTATAAGAGTTTAACAAGTAATTTAGTACTGTATATTCCATACAGAACCAGTATATCACTGTACAATTTAGCATAGGCATGTCTACTTACTAAAAAGTAAGTCCCTTTTGAGTTCCATGGACTTTCGTCACTGATAAGTATTCATGGACTCACAGCCTACCTATGCAGTCTCTTGCAAGCCTACAGACCTACAGTCAGATGAACTCAATGGAACTTAATTCTCAGCAGTCATATATAGGAGTGTGCTGAAAACAGCTTGTTTGGCATGACAAATGGGACTTATTTTCACACCTTAAATGGGACTTATTTTCACACCTTAAACATTTTGTGCTGAAATATTTGCTCATGAATAGAGTGGTTGCTAATTTAATTGGCCCTGTTCCCCTGCCTTTAATAACAAATTGAGGGGCAATAACGGGAAAGAGAAGAAAAAAGTTCGTAAGTGAAAAAAGCAGGGAGGAGGGTGCAAGCTGTGTGTGTGAGAGAGCACCAGCTGCAAAAACAAAACAAACTAACTACCCCTGAAAGGGATTGAACTCTGCTTCAACAACACAATGCAGCCCTCCCCACCGAATCCCTTGGGGGGGTGCATTGTGTTGTAAGGCAAAATTGCTGGTTCTAGTAGCTTCCAGGAATAAAATAGCATTAGAAAGCGGGGGGGGGGGACAAAGTAGTTGGAGGTGAGCATCAAGGAATCTAAGAAGGACCCAGGGTGAAACAAACCAACTAACCCCAAAACAACTCCCATGAACTATAGGATTCTCTCCTCTGTGTTAATTAAAACCAATCCTTATATGAGAGAAAACCCCATGAACTCAGAGTTAATAAACATGAGTATGACTGTGTCACACACTGCATGTATACTAGGTTCCTTTTAAGCAGCACACTTTAAGAGCACAAGAGAAGAGCCTACCCTGCCCAAGTGATACAGATTTGATACCTATGCGATTTAGACTGTATGTTTTCACATTCCACCTTTCCTTTTAAAATGCTCATAGGTATAACAAGTGACATACAATGCCACAGTTACATTTTTTAAAGGTTACAATCCTGTGTATGCTTGATGTTAAAGGTGGGAATCCTGCTTTATAAGGATTGGCTTTTGAAAATAAAACACACAGAATCAGTTAGTAGCATCACATTTTACATGATAGTACAATCCATTTGTATGCAATTTTATTCAGGTGTAAGAAATCCAATTAAGGGAGTGACCACAATGATAAAAAAAATACAGGAAATGTTACTGGTTTGTGCAGGCTGATTCACATTTTTCCATTGCCCACATTATGCAAAGGGAAATGCAAATCAGCCCAGAGTCCACCCCTTGCCTTAATCTCTAGTTTTCCCTCTCTAGTGCTGAGACTTCTAGTCCCCTCTCCCAAAAATGGATCTTAAAAATGGATCAGATGTGTGATCACTTGCACTAATGCAGAAAAGTGAGGATGAGCCATATGCACACACTCACAAAGCATGTCCATACGGCTCATCCTCAAGCACTTTCCCCCCACCTCTTGCTTTCATGAAGATGAGTCATGTGCATGTGCGTGTGCGTGTGCACACACATATACACAGCAGAAAAAGTTATGCTTGAATACCCTCTCTACAACAAAGACTTTTTTTAAAGTACAAAACTCTTCTTCCTTTTTTAAACACCTTCTCTTCTCTTTGAGGGAAAGACTCCTTTTTTCCAGTTTTAGAATGGAGAGCAAATATTTTGTCCATTGGCAAGATATTTTTTTTAAAAAAAAGCCAACAAGATGAGAAAACCAGAGGAGAAAACTCTTCTTACAGCTTTTCAAGGCAGTTCTTCTTAGCTTTGGCCCCTACAGGACTTCAATAGTGGTGCAAAGAAGCAGCAAGCAGGACTTTTCTCCAGTCTCCCTGTGTGACTACGTAAATCAAACAGACCCAAATTTCCCAGTGAATGTGAGTGAATTCACATTTTCTTAGCTGTGTAGTTGCCTCCTACATTTAATGAGATTTCTGAAATCAACTTACTTGAAGACAGTCCCCAAAACGTCACTGCCTCTTACAGATTAGGTAAGGTAAAGGTTCCCTTTGACATTTAGTCCAGTCGTGTCTCACTCTAGGGTGCGGAGCTCATCTCCATTTCCAAGCCATAGAGCCAGCATTTGTCCGAAGACAGTTTCCGTGGTCACGTGGCCAGCGCAACTAGACACGGAACGCCATTACCTTCCCACCGAGGTGGTAACTACGTATTTGTCTACTCACATTTTTACATGCTTTTGAACTGCTAGGTTTGCAGGAGCTGAGACAAGCAACGGGAGCTTACTCCGTTGTGTGGATTTGATCTTACGACTGCTGGTCTTCTGACCTTGCAACACAAAGGCTTCTGCGGTTTAACCCGCAGCACCACCACATCCCTAATCTGTAAGTTAATGGTTTCAGGCCAAGTCTGATGAGTTCCTGAAAGGAAAACTATTAATAACAGTAATGATGTGTGATGAAAAAGTTTCTGGTTTGACCAGCACATCTTAGTAGAAGACTGAAGAACACAAAACAAGTCAGCTTTAATAATTGCCATTAACTGATCCCTGTATCAGCACTTAATTGACTGCAATTCACGAGGAGAGAGGCAACAGGCAATCACCTTGTTATTTGAGATAGGGGCTGATTGGCAAGCTGGTGTGAGGACAAATTATCCCTGCTGGCATGTGGGTCGGAGAGTGCAGATAAAAACTGGGTCATATGTAACTATTTGGTTGGGTGACTAACTCGGAAGGAGCCAGTCAGACATCAGTTTCATAAATGTTCCCAACTGTTCATCTTTCTGAACTGTCCTAATTATGACAAACCTGTTGCTGCACTCAAGTATATTAGGTAGCAAATATGATTTACATACCACAGGCTCCCCAGCCCTCATATGGGCACTGCATTAGATCTGAGCAGGGTGCCTGTAGGAATTAGGATTTTGACAGTAGTTTTAAAAAAAGTTTGGCAATCTGATTTCACCAAAGGCCACACCATTCAGAAAAATGGGCTGACTAGAGATTATTAAACCCAAGCCAAACTATGTCTGAATCCTAGGAGGGCCACACTGCAAGTAACATTTGGTGCAGGGTTTTTAAAACAAATAATAGCTTCTCTTCAGTACCACAGCATAGGGGGAAATAAGGGGGAGGCTCTGCTCTGATTCTATTAATTATCCTTCTTGTCCAAGCTGGTACATTTTGCAATTTTTTCAAACCCTGAAGTTACATGCAAAGATGCACTGTCGCCTGTAATTGGCCCCAGAAAGGGTAATAAACATCTCTCATAATAAATGATGGCCTTCCAAATGGTTTCAGGACTTGCAATTAAATTGTGAAAGGTAGCAATCTTGGAGATTACAGGAATTTTCTTTCCCCAATCCTCCTCACAGCAGGAACACAGCACATGTTTCTTGGAGTAAGCTGCATCAGACAACATCAGATGTGCTTCAAAGGAAGAATACACAGGTGTACGCTGTACAGTTCCTACAGAACAGACTACCGTATTTATTCTTCAACCAGTCTTAAAACCCAGTAGGAGCATGTTCGTGGTAGATAATGGAAATTAAATAGCAACAACTCTCAGCATATGACGGTTGTGTGCTTTATTCCAAATTGCTTCCTTGTATGTCTCTCCATGTGTGCCACTGTTTTAAAAATAAAAAAGAGCCCTTAAATGACTTTAATCCATTGGTTTATTGCAAAGCCTACATGGACAAAGCTGGTTATAGTGACAGATTTGCTTGATTCCTCCAATCCAGTGATGCAGATGCTTTGCCATGGCAGATGGCTGGGGGAAGGAGAGATAATGTTCCCATCTTGCCCTGTCTTATGCTTGACCCATTGTTGATTGACATGGATTCCTAGTCCTTCTGCAGAATCCCTGAATATATAATAAAATGAGGGTCATAAACAAACATAATTGTTAAAAGCAAATTATTTGGAATCTTTCTGAAAATCTGGACTACAGCCTGTGCTGAATTACCGCTTGTAGGTGTGTTTGCATACTGTCAGTTAGCTGCCAGTATTCTATTCTAGAGAAACTCATGCCCTTCCATATTCTTCACTGTAATCCCTCTGAGTCCTTTATGATCTCATTGTGAAAACAAACCACAAGGCCACTGAAAACCTAGGAACGACTGGTAACAAGGTCAGCTGTGTCCTTGTTAGTTTTTTTTTGGTTTATTGTCAGATACGTTCAACACTGTGGGGGAGCATTAGTAGAGTTTTCAACAAAATTAGGATCAATTTTGGGAACAGAATGTGAGAATTTGTGTATGTAAATGTGTGCGTGCACATGTGCACAAACACAGTTACTACCTTTTCAAATGAAATTGCTGAAATTGGATGCTGCTGAGGGAAAGTATATATATTTTGCTTTCTATTTGTGTCAGAATTCAGATGACTCTGTGTGACACCCAGGAATGGCTTTCCTAAGTTCCTTTTTTGGGCTACAGCTCCCAAAAAAAGCTGTATCTCAGTCCATCCCAGTCAGCATGGTCAATTTTCTAGGCTCATATCAGGGTCAGAGGTGCAGTATAAATAATTTACTAAAGCATCCCTGCCTCCCTCTCTTTGGTTTCAGTCTGATTCAGCTGTTCCAGTTCAGTAAGATGAATTAAAAGTACACTATTGCTCATTGTTAGCACAAGGACATTACAGATCCTACAGATGTAGTGCATTCAAATATCATCCAAATAGCTAAAAATACTGCTAAATCCAGTTATACCTAGCAGTGAAAAATTTGAATCTCTCTTCAGGATTAAAACAATGTTATTCTCAATAGAGGCAGGTATGGTGGCAAATATGTCAGACACATATTGATACAGGAAACTTCTATAGCTGCAGTCCTGTATGCATCTTGCTGGGAGTAAGTCCCATCAAACTCATGGAACTTAGATCTGAATAGACATGTAAAGAATTACTATGGCTACTGTTCTGAGTTATACCTTTGTCCTTCTTTGTTGTCTTCAAGAAGGCATTTGAAGTTTCACAATATAAGCCTTTTTGTTGATTAGATCTGTTTATACCAAGTAGACAAGGGTTGGGGACATGTGGAAAAGCAGGCATCCTGCAAACAAATCATTTCAAAAGAACAAAACAAAAAGGGAGCAGTGTAACCTTTATTGCAGTGGCCCCCAACCTTGGGCCTCCAGATGTTCTTGGACTTCAACCCCCAGAAATCCTGGCCTGCAGAGGTGGTGGTGAAGGCTTCTGGGAGTTGTAGTCCATGAACATCTGGAGGCCCAAGGTTGGGGACCACTGATTTATTGTGATCCCTATCAAGCACATACCCTGCATATTAACTTTTAAAACATTAAAGGTGATGGTGGGATATTGAAAAGTCAGAATATGTATTAGCAAAACTGACAAATGGATCCTATAGATAGAATACATATGCGATGAATTAGCAAAGATATCTGCAGTCAAATTAATAAGTGGGCAAGGCTACATATAGTGGTATTGCTCATCCATTGATATGTGGGATTCCTTTAAGTCTGAAATGAGAAGCACTAACATGTCAGATTTTGACTGGAGAGCCTTAGATTCAAACTAGATGTTCGGCATGAAGTACAAAAATGATTAACTGGGGTGGTTCCAGGAGGCAGGCCAGCTATCTCTGTACATGTGCACACCAGAAGGGAAGCCAGGCTGGTGTCTCTAAAGATGGTGGCAGGGGAGGATGAAGAGCTGGCAGTGCCAGGACAAGGTAGTGAGGCAATGGGAGGGGGGCAGTGGGAAGGGAATAAGGCATCCATTTTACCAAAAATGAAGCACCAAGTGGAAAAAAGTTTAGCGATTTGGCAAAACGGAATATTCAAACCACTATGATTTTTTGGTATGTAGTTCAGTTCGTGGCCATCTTTCCCTTCTCTATGAAGATCATATCGTGATCTTGGATGAACCAGACTTTCTCACCTTCACCTGCTTTACAGTTGTTCTGATGATAAAATGAGGGAAGAGGGACATGTACTTTTGAGTAACCCAAAGGAAAGGTAGGATTTAAATACACCAAACAGGGAGAAAATGATTAAAGTAATGAATTTCATCAACACCAGTAATATTCTTGATACTCCGCTGTCCTTATAGACTTGAATGGACAAGATTACATACCATATTTCTGTCTATGCACAGGGAGATTTTACATGAGGACTGAAAAGGTGTTAAATCAAAATTTACTGCCTTCAAACTGAAGTGTCATGTCCCAGAAGGCCTATACCAGGGGTCTTCTTACTGTTTTAGATTGGTTTCACCTTCTCTCTAGCTGACAAATAAAAGCCAACAGACGACAGCTTGGGAGCATTCTCCGTGAATGTACTGCTCAAAATGGCTGGCTGAGACTGTATGACTGTGTTGATTCAGTCACATCCTGGAAAAGTGCCTGTTTTGAACTGCTCCTCACACCATCCCTCAGCCACTGGCTGGTCAGCTTGGGAACCTGCAGGTCAAAAAATGGTTTATCTTCCAAGTTATACTCACAAGCCAATACAATCGCATGTATTCTGGAGGTCTTTCTAAGTATGTCAGTATCAACGACTTGACTGGGGCCTCAAGAGTAAACAGGCACAAGACAGGATTTAAACAGCAATTTCCGACTGGGGCGCAGATTTGATAGAAAAGCCCAGATTTCCCTAGAGACCTGCTTCTTCTCCTCCCTTTTCTACTGGCACTTCATATGCGTCTGGTGGTTGGGCAGAAATACGGTGTAAGCAACCAAATACAATCTCTCCCCTTAATCCTTGTTGTTTTTATTTAGTCATGTCCGACCATTCGTGACCCCGTGGACCAAAGCACGCCAGGCCCTCCTGTCTTCCACTGCCTCCCAGTGTTGGGTCAAATTCGTCTTAATCCTACACCTCCCCTACTAGGCAAAGCCCTATAAATAGCGCCCTTGCGAGAAACGCTCCCCGCCCCCCTCCTCCTCCCCCTCCCCCACGCGACCAACCCCAGCTGTTGCTATGCCCCTGTTCTGGGAGCCTGACTTTCCTCGTACTCACGTCACAACTTCCACCCTGCTGAGGTCACAACTTCATTAGCATACCAAGCGAGAGCTGAGCCAATCGGGAGTGCGCAGGACGGTGACGCGTCAGTCTCCCAGAGTATTAAAACTCCGGTTTGTGGCTGAGACCGTCTAGTTAAGCTAGGAGAGAGCGGCGGACGTGAAAGGAGCCTCCTCAAAGACCCTCGTAAAGAAGCCGCCGCCGCCGCCGGACGCGAAGGAAGCAAGCGCTTGTCCATTCGTCCTTCTTTTCCATTATTCTGTTGTTTCTCCGGATCTTCTGGAGCCTTCAAGGGGGCCGCCCTCACCTGAGCCCTAAGCCAAGTCATGAGCCAAGTCCAGCGCTGGAATGGCAACTGCGGGAGCAACTGCAGCCGGGTCGAGATGGTCCCGGAGATCGCTGCTGCCGTCAGCTTCGTGTCCAGCCTGTTGCGGACCCGCGGCTGTGTGAGCGAGCAGCAGCTTCAGGTTTTCAGCGCAGCTCTGGAAGAGGCGCTCACAGGTGAGAAAGGGCACCTCGGAGACTGAAACGGGGCGCGGGAGCTCTTCGTCCAGGCGTGGGGCTTCCTGGTTAACTTTGCCCTCGATGGACCCGTGGGGGACCTCTCTGTGTCCACTGCGAACCTTTCTTCTCTTTTCCTCCCCTTTCTCTCCATTAAGGTATCATTTTTTTTTCCTCCTCCTTTGTGGTTTATCATCTTCATCGAACTGCGCTGCTGTAAGTCTTAAGATGTATATATAGCTCAGATGGTGCTCTCCCCCCCTCCGCTCCTGACATACTAAATATTTTTTAGTAGACGGAAGTAATTTTTCTTCTCCTGCTTCTTGAAGAGCTCTGTTATGTGAAATGGAACCGACTTTTTGTTTGGGGATTTTAAAATCAAGGAAAGTTTTAAAATAATCGGTATGTATTTGAGGCATTCACTTCTTGGGCTAGAGAACATAAATGGCCATTGGCAAATACTGATAACTTTGCTTACCCAGCATGCTATTGCCATGGCATTATGGATAAACACATGAGGTACAAGCCAGATGCTCTTCTTATGTGGGGGAGTGCTCTTTGTTCTAGTCAAAGGGTGAGGGTAGGCACTTTCCATCGCAAAGCCTGTTTGCAGGCGCCTCTGCAAGAAGTGGAGGATGGGAGCATAGTACGAGAATATCACAGTTGATGGGTCTTGTGCAGGAGACCCTCCCATTTGCATCCCTTTAACTTTGGAGAACCATGCTCTTCTAGCTGAAGCAACCAGTGTCAACAGTTACAAGTTTTGTTTTCAAAGGAGTAGCTCTGTTACTCTTTCAGCCTGTATAACAAAAATGAAACAAGGCTTGTGGCATGAAAATGGGGTTTAATGAATTATGATCAACTTCTCCAGACATCGAGTATTTGTTTTGTTAAACCATCACAGTGAGGCGTTTTGCTCTGCAGCTGGCTGGAAGTGTAGTATTCTGTAAATAATCTGTCAGCACAACAAGCGTTTCAGGGTTTTGAGGAAGTGAGATGTTGCAACTTAGACATTAATGGTCCAATCTTTTATGATAAGTCCTATTGAGTTCGGTGAGGTTTACTTTCAGGCAAGTGGCTGTAGGATTGCAGTCATGAGGTCTTCCTTTGGCTTGTACCTGTGAGTACCCTCAACTGAATGGGCTCTCTTAAATTCTACTTCCACAATTGTATTATTCAATATATAATATACTGTAGTTGAAAGGACTTTCTAAACAAAACTATTATTGGATGGAGCCTTGTACATCGGCCTGGAGTGCAAGAGAGCTAGCTAGTTGCCTGGGCTGTATTCTAATTACACCGTCTGCTAAGCAGCTTTCAGTGATTAATGAAGCACTCTGCCTAATGCATACAGTTAAACCTTCTGAACTCTTCAGTCGCAGGCTTCCAACCTTCTGGTGTTTCTGATAAAAAGAGGTTTCCTGCTAGCTTTGTGAGATATTTTAATATTCTTCTTGGAAGAGAGTAGTGTATTCGTTGATAGAAAGAAGACTGCTTTGGGATGTGCCTCTTGGAGCAAACCTTTTACTTGCTATGATTTAGTTTTGTTTTATATCTATCAAAATTGTAGAATTTCTCACCCTTATATCACTAGAACAGAGTAAGAAATTTACTCTGAAGTTAGTGCCAAAGACTGGATCAGTCCCAGGGGAGAGCTGTTTCGATGGAGAAATGCAACCATTAAAAAAAACAGGCTGTAAATAGATGAATATATTTCTTTGTGTGTAAAATATTTTGCATATAATGCTTTTGTAAAAATCCACTGTGCTCACTTAGCATTTTTGGTGTTTTTCTTTGTTGTCTTGTAGAGCATTACAAGCATCATTGGTTCCCTGAGAAACCTTTCAAAGGCTCTGGCTACCGCTGCATCCGCATCAACCATAAAATGGACCCTATCATCAGCAAGGCAGCTAGCCAGATCGGACTCAGCCTCCAGCAGCTATATCAGCTCCTGCCCAGTGAACTCACACTCTGGGTTGATCCTTACGAGGTATCCTACCGCATTGGTGAGGATGGATCCATCTGTGTTCTGTATGAAGGGTCTGCAGCACCTGTGAGCGCCTATGGGATGCTCACTTGCAAAAATCAGATGATGCTGGGGCGCACAAGTCCTTCCAAAAACTACATGATGACCGTCTCCAGCTAAGCATTCCCAGTTGTCCTTACACTGCCAAGAGCTGGGCTACTGTATACCTCACCTGAGGATGTATTTTTTAAAAAATGAAGAGCTATTTATATTTTTTTAAAAAAGAGAGAAAACCCAAAATGAAATCCAATAGCAGGCACCACTCTTCTATGGAGTGGTGTTGAGGTGCCTTTTTAAAGCTGTTGCAAGCTTGCAAGTTTATTTAAAAAAAGGAAGCAGAAAGAAAATGCCATTATCTACCTAATTAGTGTTGGATGACAATTCTGGAGGGTTGACCTGCCTATATGGGAAATGCAGGGTTGGAAATAAAAGTCAGGGGGTGGGGCAGGGCACAGCACTTTTAAGCAGTGACTAACTATGGGGCAAATGCAACAACTGTGAATCTTCAGGCTGTAATGCCAAAAGGGTAGTACTTAACTGATGACCCATACATGCTGATTAAGATGCCATGCTCTCATTCTGGTCTAGGTGTTTTTCTTTTCTCAGTTGCTGTCTTTTCATTTCATTACACTAGTAAGTTGCTTCATCACAACCATCACATCCCCTATCCAAAGTAAGCTGCTGTTTCTGCTTTTTTTTAAATGGCATAAGCATTGTGTTAAAACACACTCAGTCACGATGATAGCCACTCTGATCCATTAGCCTGTGGGTTTCTAAGTGCTGGTCCATCATTTCTCTTTCTCCCTCATACATACACACAAACACATATCTGCACACAAACAGATACATACAGAAACAATGTTTCTCGCACAATTCTTCACTCCATCCTGCATTTCATGCTCATGATAAAATTCCAGTTGGAATGTGTAGTTTCTAAAATCATAAGGAACTTTCATTGGGAAAGAAATCCAGGATCTGGCTACCTAAATCCCTGGCTTGTTATTCTAGCAGTCAGCTCTCATAAACAAAAGTGCAATGGCCAGGCCAGTGTGAACTGAATCTTCCTGCTAGGAAAATATGCCTTCACCAGGGTTTTGTCTATTCTACTGCCTTTATCTTGACCTTGTAACTTTCCTGACAATGCTGCCAATAACTGCTGAGAAGTGATTACAAAACCAGGGCACTTAAACTGTGTTTTCTTTTTTTGAAATCTATCTTCTTGGATCTGCTTCAGAGCACATGGCACAGTTGGCTTCTGTCCTGTACAGGCAACTGTTTTGCATCCATCGCCAGAGCTGCTGCTCCTCTGCCTTTTGTGAATTGAGTTCTCAGACACTGTGCAATATGTTTCTTAAAATTTGGGCACTCTGGAGGAGGAGCAGTTTCGGTGCGACAGTTTCCTGTTCTTGAAGCAAATATCTCTTTTGTCCTTTCAAAGCACTGCTCATACAATTCCTACAATGTCCTTGAGTGCACAAATGTTTAAACTGGGAAGCTGCAGTCTACAATGCCATACCATTTAAAGGGTATGGCAGCTTTTTGTACAGAAAAGGTGAAGACCTTGTATTTTTTTTTAAAAGGCCTAATCTGCAAGAGAGGTCTTCCCATTGAAATGTCTGGGTAGAAATCATTTAGTTTCCTTCATTTAAAAATGTGAAGCTCTTGTTTTAGAGCTTAGCCCCAACATTCAGCAAATCCAATTACAGCAAAGCACTAAAAGTCCCTATAAGCTAAAAACAAAAAGCGCTGCCACTCCGTTAGCATACATGCAATCTTTGGCAGCATGACAAGAGGAATACTTTCTGCACTGTAGCTTCCCCTTCCAAGAAATACTGTTCAAAGTCTGCCTGGGAGCCTTGTTGCTTATCTGGTGCATCAAAAACATAATGAGTTGGAACTGTAACATATCCAGGAAAAACAAAATTGTTTTGCTACACTCCCTGTCTTCACTTGTTATTTCCCAAATGCCAGTAACTTGTTTCACTTGCCAAGTTGGCCTGATCAATGCAACACTGTTTAAAGGTATCTTGCTTGTTCCATCTTATTTTCTTACCAACAAAGGGTGCTTCTACAAATGAAATTTGTAGACCTTTTCCTTTGGTTCCCCCCCACCCCACCCCCCAGTGTCCTTGGATAGTTGATGAGGAAACACCAAATATCATGCTATTATACCTGGCATGGAATCTAGTATTAAGATTGTTTTGTTGTTAGCATTAAGACAACCAAATCTGGACAGAGTCTGTTTTGTAACTCGTGCATGTAAAAGCTGTGAATTGATGTATGATCTTTGTTGCCTTCAGATTACAAGCCTGACACAACCAGTGCTGGAGAACTGTGTCTTAGGAGCAGCCTATGAGTGTGTGCGTGTGTATGTGTGTCCTTTTTCTCCTCTGCAAAACTTGAGCTGGACTGTTGAGTGGGACCTTGTTTCATAATTGGTGAAAATAATGAGAACATTTGTAAGCTATTTTGTGTTGGGGAGGGATGATTATTGTACAATAGTGTTTTTATATGCAAAATGTACAGATATATTGGAAAATGTACTTTTGTTACTTTAATAAAAATGTAGCAATTCTATATGTTGCTGGAAATATCTAAAGCAATGTCTTATTATTTGCAAAAAGAAAAGGAAAACGTGTGGTCATTGTACAAATTCCGAAACCAAGAGAGATAATATCTTTATCAGAGTAATAAAATGGCAGAAACAGGTAGCCCTTTGATTCCTACAGGCTGGGCACTGCAGCCTGAGAAAGGGTAGGAATGTCCAAAAAAGTCATAATGAAGCTTCAGGACCTGCAGTTAATGTCACAAACAAGGTGGAAGCTGCAAACATGTAAAACCAACTGGGGGTGTGTTAGCTTTACAAGTCTGCAGTGACCGAGAACTCTACCACCACTGCACATTGGGTGATCTCTGCTTATATATCTCCTTTGTCTATAGAGAGAGAGATCTAAAACCTCCAATTGCTCCTCAGCTGCTCTCCCAAGGAGCATAGGGTTGATCCTATAAGTGAATTGCTAATCATGGCCTTCGGTATTAAAATATAATTAGTTCAACAGTCAATGTTCTGCAGCCATCTATTATTGCAAGATACATGTCTATTTTGTTTTGTTCTGATAAGGTATCTCATCAAACCTGTTCTTCAGGTAGTTTTAACTGTAGCGTAGGGTGGTTGGGAACACCTGGAATGCACAAAATTAGCCCTGATTTTCTTTTTTTCCCTTTTTTTTGAGGAGAGCACTGTGCAGAGTTTAGATTCTCTGTAACTTTTTTCTCTATATGTGGTTAGTTCAGAGATATAACTGCAGAGGATAGATTACTTTCAGAAGTGTATATGAATAAAACGATCATATGCTAAATGCACAGGATTCCCACCCCACCCCCCGAAAGATACTTCAGGGTTGGATCTACCCTGAGGTTGTCTCTTGTCCAAGATCAGCACTTCAAATGCCATAAGAACAAACGTACAAATCTCCTTTGAACTGGGGTTTCTGGCCCAAATGTACCACCACTTTTCAGGGGTTCTTTGATATAAAGCTAATCTGTGCATCTAGTGTGCATTGATAGGTGCCTTGGATGATTGGATCAGTATCAAAGTAAGGGTTCCAGTGTTTCCAGTATCAAAGTAAGGGTTCCACTTGCTAAACTCCAGTTACTTAGCAGGAATGATATCAGTGGCAGCAGTAATTTCCATCAATTAAAGACCTGTGTTGTTGATGGCATACACACTTGTCCCATTGTGAGTCATGCCCAACCTGAAATCTCTTTAATTAGCAGCAATCTGCCATTGCCCATGATGTCATTCCTGGTAAAGCTACAGACCTATGTGACAAGATAATGGCCAACGTTCTCCATATTGGGAATCACAATATCCCATGCCCAGAAACTCCTTCCTTTCTCCTCTTTTTTAGTTCAGTTATTCCTTATTCTTTTAATGTGCATTTCTTTGTCCTTCCATTTTCTTTCCTCACTGCTCACAGGAGCCATCTGCTAGCATCCAAAGTCTTAAATGGGTTGGTCCAGGATCTAGTATTTCATTCCCCATCCCTTGGCAGAGCATTAGTGCTGCATTCTTCTAACTTAACAGCAGGATGACAAAAACAAGAACTCTGTTGCAGGGGACAAAAATGGAATCTTTAAAAAGCTATGTTCCCCTTTTGTTGTCAGGGAAATGACAGCTCACAGAGGCCTATTTCTGTAATTCCTTGCTTCGCTTCATTACTTTCTAGCCAAGATTATGCAATATCAAAATGAATGTCTGAGGAAAGGCTGGAACACATTTTCCTGGAAAAACCATTCCAAGTATGTGGGCTGAAATGGAGGGAACGACCACTCACAGGAAGTGCCACGACCGATTTCTTTTTTGTACATTCACAACAAGAAGCAAGGCCAGGCCTAGGCCAGGCAGGCTCAGAGCTATACAGTACCCTGGTCCTGGTAAGTGAAATATCAGTGCCTGTAGGTGTGGGTTTGTGGGCTTGAACTCCCTGAGTTGTTTCTTGAGAATTCTGTGAGTTCTGGAGTATGGAGAGAAAAAAAGCATATCCATACCAGCTAGTCAAAAAAAATAAAATAAAAATGTTTCCCTATCTCTAGCTGGATCCAAATTTAGTCAAGTACTTCTAGCACAGTGGTTCTTAACCTTGGGTTACTAAGGTGTTTTTGGACTGCAACTCTCAGAAGCCTTTACCACCAACTGTGCTGGCTGGGGTTTCTGGGAGTTGCAGTTCAAAAACACCTGAGTAACCAAGGTTAAGAACCACTGTTCTAGCACACCGCTTGAAATCAAAAAGACTTGAACCATTTTAACTTACATTTCGTTTGATTTGGTGGCTCAACTTCATGAATCAATCTGCCTCAATAAAATGTGCCAGCATGCTTAAACCATTTGATACAATATGACTGTATGAGTGGTTCAGTGAAATAGACCACAAGTTTGATTTGTGTGTGAGATTTTTTTATTTTATTTTTTGCTTGTTTTTGTCACACATCTCAAAATGAGCATCTTGGATTCTTTGAGATTCGCCTTCTGTAGAGCTTAAAGGGCAGCAAAAAGAACCCTTGGAAAGCTACCACTCCCAAGAAGTACTGCAGCAGCTTCTCTCCCTCTCTCTGGTACATTCACAACAGGAACCCTGGCCAAAGTGAGGCCATGCAAAAGTCTTAGAGCTAGGTCATGTTCCAGGTATTTGTAGTTATAGGTCTGCCTGTGGAATTTTTGAACAATTTCAGAGGTTGGAGTCCTAATATTTAAAGCTAAAAACAATGAGTATACAATTAACTTAAAAAGGATCAAACAATCACCACACTAAAAAACTAAATAAAAGCACCAAATCACATTCCAAGCAGTAAGGCACGACAATCGATTTAAGAACTTCTCTCAGGCAACGATGTCAAGTAATAAATGGTGAAATCAGTAAATCTGCCATTCCAAGAGGGTCCTTGCCACTCTTTCGCCTAGGAGTAGCAGCAAGTGGCAAGGATGACAATGCCAGCAATGAGGAGACTGAACCCACTGCATGTTTCTAGAAGAAAGAAGCATGTGGTGATGGCAAGGAGGAGGAGGAGGAAGTGCTGCTCTAGGCCAGCAGGGCCCTTACCGCATTGTTCCCTGTTGCATTGTCTGGCCCTTCCAGCTAAGCCTGGCTCTTAAGTCCTCAAAACATAAGGACTATGGGACCGGTGGCCAGAAAAACTTCCTGTCATTCAGAGGACTTTAGAACCAGGCAGTACTGAATTACCTCACAGAAGAGGTGAGATGGTGCAAAGTGGAGTAACACAGCAAAAGCCCTCCTAGGGTGGCACTTACTCTTCTTCCTTCTCGTTGCCATCCACAACTTCTTTTGACAATGTTGGTGGAGGGGAGTGGCACCTCACCTCTATGCTGCTGTTGCTACTGCTTCTCGTGCCACCATTGCCCCCACCGTATGTTGCTACATGAGGCAGGTGGCACTGTAATGCCCATGCAATAGGGGAGTAGCACTCTGCTTCCTGTTTTGGGTGGTGATGCCCATGACCCACCTAGTCTGGCTGACGTATTCTGGGAGCTGAAATCCAAAAACCAAGCATTTTCCATATCTAAATCCAATGAAATTCTTTGAACACAAGCAAAATTAATTTCAGCCTCTGGATGACTGTATTGAACCCTGACTGCTAACATGAAAATTAGATATTGTACCTATGTGAAGAATGGATACTGCACATGGTTGTAAACAGCAAATAAGTGCATATAGGATTTATGAAGGAAGGGGCAAAGAAGCATGAAAAGGAAAAAAAGTTACCTATTTCAGTATGTATACCTTCATTATAAAGCTGACTGTACAGTATTAGAAATGAACTTTTATCTACATTTGCCATTGCTATATTTAATATAGACACTCTTGCCTCTTGGAAAAGTCAATTTGATCAAACATATGATATCCTGTAGTCCTTATAAGCAGTCTTCAGTCATGGGTGGAATTGGGGCTTTTCATTTATATGCTAAATCTACACTTGCAGCCATTAAGAAGGTTCACTATCTGAAGCCCATATCATTAATCTTTCAGATATTGCAGTAATAGCACCAAAGATTTGCCTTAATGGGATTCTAGTGCAATATCCAGCTAATAGCATTTGTACAACACATAGCAGGGAAATGGTGCATTTTGAGAAGTGTATAAACCACTCTGACTAGAAGAGGTTGTACATGCTTATATTCTTCCATTTAGAACAGCACAACATGCATCGAAACAGAAAGTTTAAGACTAAATTTTTTTCAGAGTGTATGTAGTGAGCCTGTGCTGGTCTGTTTCCATTTTTGGGTATAGTGCAGTAACATATTCTATGATGGGACTTCTGGATCATGTTACTGGGTGCTGTTTCATTAGGTGCAAGATGGGTTGTGTTTCCTGTTCCAGAATAGAAATCACACTATACTATACAGACTGTAAATGAATCTTTGAACAGGAAATCATTTCTCTTACACAGGCCCACAGTTAGTATTGCAAATATTAGTAACATTAACATACTAGTATGTTACTAAAGCTAGTGTACGATATGTGGATGAGATCATGTTTCTCTGCCCTGCTTGTTTATTACTTGTTTATGTAACATTGTCCTGATATTGCACAATGGCCTAATTACAAAATCTAAAAAAAAAAGATTTAGAAGGCAATTAAATTAAGAAGATTTACCAGATAACTTTTTTTAAAAAAGATACTCAAGTCAAGATACTTTGGGACAATTAATATTTACAAGAGTTAAAAAGCAAAACAACAGAATCAAAGTATCTATAAAATCAAGCACACATTGTCCCTATCATTTGCCAAAATTAAAAAAAATTAGAAGGATAATAAATTCATGCAATGCCAATATTTGAAACTGACCAATCATGTCAAGTCAAAACTCCGTGACTAGAGAAATATCATATCCTGTTGCCTAAATTCTTTTGGCCTTTCTAGGAAAGCATTCCATAGAGAGAGGGGCACAACCAAACAGCCACAATCCCTTTTCACTATCCTCTGAGCCTCTCTTGAAGTAGAAATTGAGAAAAAAAGACAAGACGTCTTATATCAGCAAAGACTAATTTTTCGGGCAATAAACTAGCTTTAGTTT